GAGCGACAGGCAAGGATGCTGGTGCCATAGTCCAATGCTTGGTCTTCCCAGGGAGTGAGGGAGAAGCACCAGTGGACGATGTACCATGCATACTACCTCACTTTCCAACAAATGCATCAGCCACCATACTCTTGGGGACTGCCTTCCTCGAGGAGTTTCTACTCTGAGTCCCTTAGGGCTGCTGGAGGCTCCCTTGGAAAGAAACCTGTGGCCACTTGGCTGTCTCCTGTGGTCATTTCCTCAAATGCAGCCTTCACTGGAACCTGAGGCCATCCACAACCTGCAGACCATGACATACCCTTTTCATGCCTGTGTGACTCAGTCCTGGTGGCTTGTTCTGCAGAACAGCTGAGCTAAAATCCTTCTCCTCCAAAGCTCAGCCAGGCCCCTCTGTTTCCTCCATGAAGCCTTCCCTGGCTCTCCTATCCTCCTCTGTTTACCCCCTCCTCCCTTCTCACACACTGAGCCTTGTTCCCAGGACAGCCCTGGGCGCTGGTCTTGTATATGTCTGCTTCCCAATCGGCCTCCTCCACCCACCAGCTCAGCCAGTGGGCATAAGGAACAAAGCCTCATGGTTGCTCTGGGTCCTGTCTCCTGTTCTCATCAAGGCTTCCCCATCTTCATCAATGCAGATTCATCCTTCTAGAAAGTTTCCTGCTCCATGACATCACCCAGACTCCCACAGATCAGCCCACTCTGTGTGATCACAGCTCTGTACTCATCCCTGCACAGAACACACACTCTACCACACAACTATGCAGATTGAGTTAAAACAGAACCCAAAATGCAAAGCAAGGTAATGCATGGGTTGCCTGTATTAAGGTGCCATGTTATGGAGAGTGGCCTTAAAAATTCCTCTGCAAGACTGTGGAGCCCTTGGTGCAGTCAGTTTCAGAGCAGCTGTGCATTCTAAAAGCTTTGGAGTAAATATTCATAGATTTTACTTTTCAATTCAGAGAAATAGGTATTCGCTTATTCAGCTGGGCTTAATGGGGCAAGCCATGTTTTTCATCAAGGAATAAGCCAGAGAGCTACACCTGACCTTGTGAGTAACCTTGAAGTAGACATTTGCCCTATGACCCTGGAGTTTGTCATCCTTACAGGAAGTAAGGCAGGTACACCACATAGGTTGGGATAATGATGAGACTGATGCTGCAGGTAGCCAGCAAGCCAGCTTTAGTCTCAACTCCAGACCCCTGTTACTGCAGCAGCGACAGCTCCAGTCATCGGGTTCCCACCACCTACATGAAGACTCAGACTGAGCTGCTGGTTCTGAGAGGCTGGTCCAACCTCAGCTCTGCAGGCATTTGAGGAGTGAACCAGTATTGGGAGCAGGCTTGCCCACTTGCTTGCTCGCTCTCATTTACAAGTGAAAATCTAGAAAATTTCCAAGTAAAATAAGGCTACCTAGGACAAATTAGCAGCTTACAAACCATTGGCTAGGGTGTGGGAAGACAGAGGATCTTAGCAGTTTCTTTCCTAACAAACTGCACCAACTCTGTGCAAAAACCAACAAACTAAACGCGTTTGCTTAGAGAAATCTCAGTACACGTCCACTGTGAGAGACTCTGACACATGCTCACCAAACTTAGAAAACTCCACTAAACAATATCCAGCCCCACCAGCAGGGCCCAAACATGGCTGGCCACATCAGTGTCTGAGTGAGATTCCTAGAGGCAGTGGGGATCCCTAGAAACAGGCACAAGATTCCTGTGGTCAGCCAAGGCTGGGACCTTCTGCTCCACTTGGATTCCAGACCCTAGTTCCTACAGCTGGAGCATGCCAGCTGGTGTTTGTCAACCTCGAGCTTGCGCCTATGACTGTGCAGAAAGGATTTTTTACACTTAAAACAAAATCATGAATTTGCAAACAGCTGCTCACATTATTAGTAAGAGCCTCGCGTCCCATATTTATCCCACGCCTCGCCATGTGCTAGATGCCTAATAAATCCTGGTTGGGAGACGGAAGAGTTATCACTTGTTATCTGGCTTCAATTAGCTTTTTGCTTGTCAAAGAAGGCAAGCTCACTTCGCTTAGACATCATCTAAACATCAACAGCCTTCATGTCGTACCTCAAAGCAAAGCACAGAGAGGCAGACAGCTTTGCAGAAAAAAATGGGCCTCATAATGAGGAACTATCACACGACACGATTTTCTTCCACCAGACACAGGACATACATCCACAGCACAGGCCTTTCAGGCTAATACTTTCATCTCATCCAAAACTGTTAAACTGCCGGAACTGGGAAAAGCTTCTAGGAACTGCATAGTAAACAATCATTGGCCCCTTATCAACAAGCAAGTGAAGAAAAGGGGGGAAAAAAAAAGTCCAGCTGGCCAAGCGTGAGGGCCAGAATGCAAGCTGCACCAGGGCAGCCTGTGGGAGCCTGGTCCCCAGGCGGTCATCTCTGGCTGTCACACCTAGTGCCACCTGCACCCACCCCTCCACAAGCTGGTGCCGGCAGGATGCTGGCCACTGCAGAACCTGGGAGTCACAACACCCCAGCTTCATTCCAGCTCTGTGAGTCCTGCCACTGTCTAGACCCTCAGGTTCCTTAGGGGGCTCCTGGAGCCATGACCACCTGTGTCCCAATCCTGACTCACACACTAGCTGTGACGCTACCTCTCTGGGCCTCCACATTGCTTCCCTGTTCACGTGAGGATGCTGTTAGCGTGGGGGGAGCTCTCTTATGGAGCTGCTAGTACCCAGCCATGAGAACAGTACCTGGCTAAAATGGGTATTCAACATAACTGAACTATCATCAGTTGCCAAGTTTCCTTTTGTTTTCATGCTTTTGTCAGGTCACAAAACTGACTGGGCTGTAAAGCTGACCTTAACAGACGTGGGACTATTTAATAGCCTGTTTTTATCTCAATGTGGCCATTCATTCATTCATTCATTTCACTATAGAAGTGATAATATGCTTGCTTACAGGGTACCACCCAGGCTGTGGACAGAACACCATTGAATTGTAGATTCTCCCCTAACATGGGGACAGCTCTGAATTTCTAGAAAGTTTCAGCACATAGCATTTTGGGTGGGGCTGCGGTGTTGTGGCTGGAATGAGATGGCAGATATGTATCAGGGATCCAGCTCCCAACCCCGGTTGTGGGAGTAGAAGCAGAGGCCCCAGCCAGGATGAACTCAATGGGTACCCAGGTGGCCATGCAGGAAGAAGAACGCACCCTTGACCACTGGCCTCTCTCTATTCTTCCTGCCAAGCCTTACAGCTTGCTGTGCTTTTCTTCTTCCATCTCCCTAGACCTGTGAAAGCCAGCTAAAGCACCTCTTCCTGAAGCAGCTCTCTCTCTCTCTCTCTCTCTCTCTCTCTCTCTCTGCAGGTCTCTGTTGTAGTTTCTCAGCAGCTGCTGCATGGGGAGGGCTGGGCTGGCTCTCCCATGTGCACAGGCATTAGCTGCCACACCTTTGTGCAGGGAAGGGCCACAGGTACCGTGGACAGGTGTCTGAGAAAGTCTGGCCATGCATGCTGGTGCTCACTGCAAGCGGGGACCAGGGAAGGGCGAAGCAGCTCCCCAGCATGCCCCAGGCCCAGCCAGGACCGGAATTAATGTGGCTGGACACCAACGCCAATGTCCCTTAAGCACGCAGAGCCTCCCTCTTCCTATCTTCAGCCTCCATGTGTATTTGTTTTCCTACTGCTTTTTTTTTTTTTTTTTGACAAGTATTTCCTCAGAGTCTATCAGGGACCTGGGTGCTAGGGGACCTGACGATGCTGGTTGAGTCACCCAGGGGTGAGTCCCTCTCAGCCCCCGTGTACTTGCCTCTTCCAGAATATTATCTGCCCTGCAAACTCAAGGTCATGTACTCCAAGTAACTTCCCACCCTGTACATTCATGCTTCCCAGACCTGCACTTGCTATTCTGACAACACTTGTAGAATTTATTCTTTAAAAAAAAAAAAAAATTCGGGCCCGGCACGGTGGCGCAAGTGGTTAAAGGTCCTCGCCTTGCACGCCCGGGATCCCATATGGGCGCCGGTTCTAATCCCGGCAGCCCTGCTTCCCTTCCAGCTCCCTGCCTGTGGCCTGGGAAAGCAGTCAAGGACAGCCCAAAGCTTTGGGAACCTGCACCCGCGTGGGAGACCCGGAAGAGGCTCCTGGCTTCGGACCGGCATAGCATCGGCCCGTTGCGCTCACTTGGGGAGTGAATCATCGGACGGAAGATCTTCCTCTCTGTCTCTCCTCTCTGTATATCCACCTTTCCAATAAAAAAAAAATAAATAAAATAAAATAAATAAATCTTTAAAAAAATAATAAAAAAAATTAAAAAAAATAAAAAAAATAAAAAAAAATTCAAGATCCTTTATCAGACACATCCTCAAAGCAGTGTGCACTCAAATACTCTGAAAGAACTTTCCAGAAAAGTTCATAGATTACTGGAACCCAAAGCTGAGAGTGTGTGTAGTGGGGGAGGGGGCGAAGCACGTTGAAGATTCCATCAGTTTTACCCAGAGTCTCTCAATTTCTACTGCCCCAAAACCAGACACCTCCACGTGCTGTGCCCTGAGCTCAGATCCAGCAGCCAATGGCAGCACTACAGCCCAGTTCTCTCTGCCTCATACCAGCCTGCTGCTTGGGCACCTTTCCCTGGGCCTCCCTAGGGCTGACATCCCTCACGTGTCCCATAAGTAATGTGCCTTTGAAGAGTGCTCAGAACCACAGATGCCACCAAGTGGGAGTAGCACGAATGCTTTAAAGCAAGACAACTCTCAAGATCAAAGGAGCTACCCAGGACAAGAGTTCTCCCACATCCCGGAAAGGCAGCCTAACAAAAAAGGATGAGTGAACAGGGATGGGGGAAGGGCCCAAGGGGCACAGGACAGGCTCAGCAGCCAGACAAAGGCAAGGGTAGGGGGTGCAGGTGCAGCGATGCCAGGCATACACACTGGCACACGTGGGGGGGCAGCACAGGCAAGAGACACGGCAGAGACAGGGGCATGTGGGCAGGCGTGCAATACGGATGGTGTGAGAGGCGCGTACCTTCTTTCCGTTGGGGTTCCGCCGCCGCGGGCCTGGGAGTGCCGGCTGCCCCGCAGTGAGGCAGGCCCTTGGACGCCAGCAGCGTCAGAGCTGGGCGCGGCGCGCAGCTCCTGGCGGCTCCGGTGTAGAGGCACCGACGTGCGCACAGCTGACAGCACGCGGCCCGTGAAGGCTCTCGCTGGGGTGCGGGCAGAGCCAGGCAGGCAGGGCCGCGTCTGTTCCTTCACGCCCCCGCTGCAGCTGCGAGAGCAGGCAGACCAGGGACCCCAGGTACCCCATATGCCGGGAGAGCCGCCACCATCATCTTCGGCGTCGCCCTCAGCCGCCGCCGCCATCCGCTGTGGGACCTGCGGAGACAGAGGCCATTAGGGACCCAAGACTGCCTTGTGCTACACCCCGGCTTTGGGAGGGCCTGGTTGCCGGGGTCTCCCTGAGATTTCTTGTGCTTCAAGAGGCACGGATGAGTCCACAGGAACGGCTTCAAACCTGGCATCAAACAAGCATTTGAGAAAAACTGAAGACAAACATTTCCTGCTTCCACCGGGAATTCACATTAGTGAAAATATGGGCAAGTCTGAGTTGTGTTCAGTGGCTGGTCCTCCACTTGTAGCACTAGCATCCCATACGGACCTGAAAGAAACATCTTGTTCCTAGCTTTGGAACAGCTCAGCTCCTGCCATGTGGCCTCGTGGGAGTGAACCAGCAGATGGAAGATGTCTCTATCTCTCTCCTTTCTTCTGAAACTCTGCCTTTCCAATAAACTCTGCAGTGTCACCCACCAGCTGAAAGCCTCAGTGTACAAACTGCTCAAACGCAGAGGGGTGCTAGGAGCAAGTGCATGTGGTCCCTGCATTGTGGGAGCCTGCACTGAGTTCCCACTGCTGTGGTGACCTGGGCTAGGCATTGAGGACCCAGAGCAGAGGGCAAAACAACCCCAACCCGCTGAAGTGCCCTGGATTGGCAAAGCCTAGACAACCCACACCTGTACAGGCCCTGAGTAGTGTCCTCTTTGCCCCCAGGATCCTGCAGGGACTGGCTGCCCCTGCAGGAAGCAGTACCTTTCAGAGCCAGGCTGCACATTATCCCAGCAGCCCCTGCTCGATGCCAGTCCCACGCACAGAAGGAACCATTCTCAGAACTGTCATGGACCTGCCATGGTCTAGACCACGTCTATCCAGCACCTGACCCTCACAAGTTCTGGCACTTCCTGCCCTCCCCCAATCCCAGCTCAGCCCAGATGTCCTTTCTGCTTGTAGGTTCCTGAGCCACTTGAGGCTTTTCCTTTAGAACAGGGTTTTCAGAGAGCCACAAGCTCCATCTACCAACAAAATGATGCCCTGAGATCCGGCTGTCTTTTCCTGGATGGGCCCTGGCTTTGCATAGCACAGTCTGACCCTCAGGGAAGTGCAAAGGCCTCACACTGCCCGCCTCTCCCTCCATCCCCACAGTGCCCTGAGTGATGAGACATCATCCCAGTATCATCATTACAAAGAGTTTCACAGGGAGCTAACACCTTGTCTGGTGCTAGCAAATGAGTGCTGACTCTGTAACAGGTGCCTCTGGGGTCACTGACAGCCAGCGCTCAGGGCCTGGGAAACACTCAGGCCCCCAGAGAGGCAGTCACCCCAAAGTCACATCCTTACTGTGTTGAGGCCACCATATTGAGTCAAGTTTTACCATATTGCAGCTCTCACATAGTGGTCTCTGGACAACCTCTGCCCACCTGGTCACCCTGGGAGGTCAGTGCTGCTTGGCTTCGACTACAGGGAAGAAACAGGGCCATGTGTTCTCAGACCATATGATGTCACCAGATCACACCAGACTAAGCTTCTCCCCCCACCATTCCTGGTTTGGGGACTAACACTTCCCCCTGCAGCAGACCACATCCAGCCCGTGGGGTTGGTGGGAAAGGGAACACCTGGGGAGGTGTTCTGAGAATAGCAGGGATAACAGGAATAAATGAATAAAAGGTTGAAATGAGCTCAGGCCCACGTGGGGATGGCAAGGTGCCTGCTCCCTCCTGCTCTCATTCCACAGAGCACCAGGACATGGCTGTGGGTTCAGCACGTAGCTACCTGTAAAAGTACTCCCCACGGCTCGTCCATCCCCAGGACAGTCTCCTGTTGCCCAAGTGGTCAGGAAGGTCCCTGGGGACTGACAGCATGAAGCCATGTCCCCCACCCCACTCCCATACTCCTGAGAGCTGAGCTTCGGGGAAGTGCCTTCAGATGCCAGCTAGGTACCCGGGGCAGGAACCCAACCAGAGTGGCGTTTTTAGAGCACAAGCTAGGAACAGAAGAAAACTGGGAAAATAGAAAGGCCAGAAGGAAGGAGGTAAAACAGAGAGAAAAGGAAGGACAAAGAAACAAATTAGAGGAAAAATAAGGAGAGGGAACTTGGAGACAGCCTCCTTCGGCTACTCAGTCTCCATCTTCCTGCCATTTCTTCCCATCTGACCCATGTCACCACCTGCTCCTGCTCCGCAGACACACGTGGGATTTCTGGGAGAAACTGACAGTTGTTGTGAGATAGAATATTCTGGAAACCAGGACACAAAGGCAGACTCCTGTTATTCACTGGCAAAGCATGAAACACAAAGATGACATCCCCCTCCCCAGACTCCGACCAGGAAGGGACCAGGGCAAAAGCAGCTAGTCGCATGTGGCATAGACTGTCAGCTGAGGCTGTGGGTAGGCAGGCATCACAGGTGAACCTGGCTGCGCATCCCCTCTGAGGCCACCCATCTGTGTCACTCGATGCCAAAGGTCAACTGCAACACGCTGGCCAGCATCTGTGCATCTGATCCTGGCCATTGGGGTTTCTCATTTCCCTAGCTGTATAACCTTCAGGACCCCATCCCACTCATGCTCTGCCGCAGACTGTGACGTGGGCATCTAACATCCCATGTTCCCCGAACCCTGGGGTGACCTGAATGGGGTGTGTAGGCTGCTGTGGGTCAGGGGAGGATCTGTAGGGCACATCAGCTCAGGTCTACCTTTGGAGACAGACAAGGTCAGAACCAGCCAGTGCGCCAAGTTGCGCACACAAGGGCTGATAATGTAACATGTTTCCTAAGAACAGCAAAATCCAGAAACAATCTAAATGTCTATGATTATACCCAGGGGTGAGAGGAAATCTTCGGTGATTTTACAGATGTATGTCATAGAGGAAACAATTTCATGGATTTTAAAAATACACAAAATTCACAATCTCACTCATCTACAGCCCAGGAGACTAAAGCTCTTCACAGACACTTCTTGAAGCATTACATTGGAAATACTAAAACTGCTGATACTTGATCATTTTTTGAGCTATAGCAATGAAACTTTGTAAAAGTCATAATTTTCACATGATTCAATCTCATATGAGTTCTTTGACCCCAGAAACCCAAGAATCTCAGCAAGTAACTTGTTTCCCACCAAATGGGCGGCAGAAGTGGAAAAGCAGACGCTATGTGACAAGGCTGATCGACCAACTAACTGCCATCTACCATCTGATTGTGAACTTATGTGTGTTCTGGTGCTCTGCAGCCTCCCTGCCCACCTCCCACCCCAGTTCACTCCACAGATTCCCCGAGGCTTCTGTGGCTTGCCAGGAAGAGACCTAGGCCATCCCTAAGGAGTTATAGATATTCCCACATACTTATACTGGCTGGTAACCAAGATAACATCACTACCTTGAACCCAGGACCTGAAGCAGAGACAGCAGTGGTGGGGAGACCAGAGGTTAAGAGAGGCTGTTTCAACTTGGAGGTGCCCATGTCCAGAAGAACTGTGCAGAGGGCATTCCCTGAGCATGGCCAGCAGAGAGCTAAGACTCCCCTAAGACCCACTGGGTCAAGCAGGTGCTCTTCAGGACACAGAACAAGTGAGCTTACAGTGAGGATGGGGCTGTGGCATCACAGCCTAGCACTGAGCCCAAGGAGAGTCAAATAAACCAGGTTTGGGCAACTCAACCAGGCATTGCTGCGGTGAGCAACACAGCTCTGTGTGCAAGCAGTCTCCTAATACAACCTTCAGCATGACTGCACTGCAGCCACGCTAACATGTAAGAAACAGGCTGGGTGAGGGGAGAAGCAGAAATACAAACTTACAATTCATGACTGTGGTGGCTGGGCCTCTGGGGTAAGCTTTCTCGTGATTTCAAAAACTTCAACTATGGTGACAGCATTTCTTGCTCATTAAGTAAACAGATTAAAGGGAGAGTGATTCAGATCAGACTTGAGAGTAGGGAAGCTCAGAAAGGAGGCTGTCACAGCATGGCAGGAGCAAACCACAATGAAGGCTTAGCTTGGGGTGTTGACACCGGTGTGAAAAAATTGTGGCTTCTAAGGCTCTTCCTACAAAATTAAATCTGCCATCTGCCATGAGCCACAGGCAAAGGGTGAAATTCTAGGGTCTTGTTCCAGAGCACAGCTGGAAAGCCCGGGCTTGGTTTTAGATGCATAATAAAGCAAAAATACACCTCTGTGTTTGCAGCAGTGGACCCAGCTGTGAAAACCTGCAAACATGTGGAAACAAGAGAACAAGGACACCTGTGACCCCAATGCTCTGCAAACTTAAAACCATACCCCAGCCTGGGGCTACTACACTGGCCCTCCCTGAGACACAAACATCCCAATCGTGATCACCTGTGTCTTGACAATGATGTACACTTCAAGCAGCCCCAAACCCCACCTCTCCATGTGAACTGCAACACAGCAGCTGCAGAGTCTGTATCCAAGCCTGGTTTACAGGGGAGACTAGGTCAGAACAGGCCCCGCAGATGCCCTCAGCGGCAGATGCAACATGTGTGAGTCCAGCACCTCAGGAGCAAGTAAATATCTCCACGGCACCCAAGCAAAGGACAAGAGCAGAGGCTGAGGCAGAGAAAGCATTGGGTCCTGCAGAGGAAACCAAGACAGGGACAAGTGGCATGAGCAATGCCGTACAAATCCCAGCTCTGTCCATCACTCCCCATGGCGCCCTGCCTGTATCCACGAACCCGGAGTCTCCAGAGTTTGTGTCCAGAAAAGCAGAGTGCAGTAAGAGGATGTGGGGGGGGGGGAAAGAGGAGGAGGGCAGGACTTGAATTACGCGGGGGTCGTCGGTCTGTGGCTCTGACCTCCATTTCCAGTAAGACCAGCCAAATGGATACAGTGTGGCTGAGATCCCTCAGTACTAACACGCTCTGATTTTTTCCTAGGTAAGAACCAATATCCCAGGATGCAGGCAGCACCCCCCCCACCCCACCCCCAGCCCCAGGGTGCCCCAGCAGAAGAGGTTCTAAGCACAGAAGGTCTTTCTGACCCACTAAACAAAGGAGGTTTAGGGGCTGCCCACGATGCTCAGTGGCCTGTCTAAGGCAG